CCCCCCCCCCTAAAATGGACCCCCCCATTTTTAAAATTTTTCTTTTTTTTTCAATGGGGGGGGGTGGGGTCTTGGTCGCGCCGTCGGAATCCCGACCCTTATCGGCAGGACCCCCCTCCCCTTTGCCGCAGCGCGCCTTTGCCTTTTTCGACCACGCCCGCAGCGGTCATGACCGCGGCCCCGCGACCTCGACCGCAGGCCGCGGTCATGCCCGCGGTGACCGCGGCCGCTGGGGATACAAAGACTACAGGTGGTCTAGGAGGAGGGGGTGGCATGTCTCCTGTGTGTGGCGCTGTCTCCATCACGCCACCCTAAACCCGTGGAACATGTCCCACTACATGTCCCCCGGTGGAGGTAGACCCAGACCACACGGGCGACGCAGGACCATATGGAACCGAAGGGATCGCCTGCCATGCTGGATGCTCGAGCCTCTGGTCAAAGATCCGCTGGTCCAATCGAGTAACATCGCGCACAGCCTCTCTCGCCAACTCCTCTGCATCCAAAGGACGACGAACCTCTTGCGGAGCAAAGTGGCTAGGAAGACATGGGGGCACAACCACCGGCTCGGACCCCAAATCCATGATAACGGGCGGTGGCACACCATGCACTGCCATCTGAACCGCCTGCGACTGTCGGCCCTGAGCCAAGTGCAGGCCTGAGAACGGAACGACTGGACCCGTCGCTGTCTCCTTGACCACGCGTCGTGCGTCTATAGCCCCCTCGTCTCGCCGCGGCTGTCCTGCCTGCACAGCCTCATCCACCGCATGTGGCCGTCCCTCCACAGTTATGTCCACTGCCTCTGCTCCACCCGGCAATGCCTCATCGACCGCCCATGTTGCCACTCCCTCCGCAACGTCCTCCCCCGCCACCACCACACCCTGCACACAATCCCCCCCTGTCTCTCGAAGCCTGGCCTCCTCCAAGGCCCGTGCGAACACCTGAGCACGCGGGTTACTCGATGCCAAAAGTCGAGCCCTCTCTCGCTCCATGATGTCGCGTGCTGCATCTGGAGACTCAGTCGTCGTCCTCTCCCTCGGGATCTGTGTCAAAGTCTGTCCTGCCGCCTCGTCCCTCGATGGAGCCCGATCCGTCGACGTCGCCCCACCACAACTAGGTGGAAGGCCCATCGACAAATCAAAGGCTAAGTGGGTCCCCATCTCCGAATCCGAAATCCCAAACCCCCTCACCACACCCGGGGTCATACCCGCTATGACCGGATTGAGCTCCTTTGTGAGGAACTGCTGCATGAGGCGCTCGTCATCACCCCCATGCTGCACCTCCGCCTGTGCGGCTATCTCCTCCTCCACTGGTCCTGCCACCCACCGCTCCACTGCATCTGCCGACGGTGCCTCCTCCTCCTCCACTGCTACTGCCCCCTCCACCTCCACTGTTGTCGCGCCTCCAGCTGCTCCTCCTGCAGCTGGTGCCTCCTCCTCCAGCAGTGTTGCTGTCATCTCCTCCAGCACTGCTGCTTCTGCTGCTGCTGCTGCTATCTCGTCCACCGCTGCTGCCATCATTGCGTCCGCCACCGCCGCTGGTGCCATCCCCGCCTCCACTGCTGCTGCCGACAGTGCCCCCTCCTCCTGCAATATCCCCGGGGAAGGTGATCGTAACCTCCGCTGGCGGACTGCCTCGCCTCTGTGGAGAAGTCCGCGCTGAGGCAAAGAGGACCCCAACTCCTCTGTGTCCGCCGTTGCCATGACCGGCTGAAGTGGTGAGACGGGCGATGGTGGTGCAGGACTTGGAGCAGGAGGTGGCGGCATGGACGACTCCCGCCTGGTCGGAGTGGGGGTCGTCACCCGCGCCTCTGTGCCGCCTATGGAAGCGACCTCCCCGAATGGGCCCCAAAACTCCTCCTCTCCCCCAAGCATCTCCCTGTCCGCCCGGTCCGGCGCCCGTCGTGCAGTGTGTGCCTTCGGCTCCTCGGAGTCGGGATTGTCGTGCGTCTCGTCGATCTCGCGGGGAATGCGGAGCGCAGGGTCATCTGCCGCCTCGGGTACTGGCTCCTCGTTCGAGTCGTCCTCCCTGGGGTAGGGACGAAAAATGCAAGCACGTCTACCGAAAACGACATCAGTAGAGGGTGGTGCTGAGGCCCCGATGGGATCCCGGGTAATAAGTGCAACCTGACGGGCAATCTCCTCTTCCGTCATCCCCCTACGCATGCCCGTCCGCACAGGCTCCACCTCGAGTCAAGCCTGGCAATCCAACATGCCCTCGTCCCGCTGCCATGGCAGCACATAACTGCATCCAACCCACCGATACTCCATCAACTGCACATTTGCGGTGATCTCAACGAGTTGAACGACCTTCTCGAAGGCCAACTGGTTGCGCTTCTTCGTGTGAATGCCCTCGTGGACTACCCAGTTCCTCTCCGCTGGAGAGATGCAAGACCACATGTGCATCACCCGAAGAGCGCACCGTTGCAACTCTGGCGCGCCCGCCACGAACTGAGACCACCAAGACGCGCACTCAATCATCTCGCCGTCGCTGCTGCATGCGCGCCCACGAGCACGCACCTCCGCCCCGCCCCAATCCATGAACCTGCCCTGCTGAATGTGGAAGTCCTCAAACTGCCGACATGCAAGGATGTAGTCCGCACCCTCCAACTCGAAACCCGTCTGCGTCAAAATGTACCTCTTGGCTTGCCCCACAAGCCAAGCATGGTACAAATCAACCAGGCCCGAAAAGTAGCGAATGTGTCGCCTGCGGGGGTTCAATAAGAACCCTGCGCAGTGAGTCGGCTCAAGCATGTGATGTGTGCGAGCCTGCACACGCCTGATGATCCGGTTGGCGAACGACTTCCCAAAGGAGCGCATGCGTCCGTGACACGGCGGACAAGATCCTGTGTCCACTCGATCATCAGGGACATGTACTGTCCTCCACGATCCATCCGCCTAAGCAACTCCATGACGGGCTGCATGATATGGACGATGGTGGCCACCCTCTGCCACCATGGATCCCATATGATTTGTCGGCGCACCCAACGCGCCATGACGCACACATCGGCGGACCACGAGATGGAAGCAAAAGCCCGTGCGTCATCCCCTCGCATCATGTCCTGCAAAGTGTCCTGCAGGGCCAACAGCCTCTCTAGCATGGAATAAACAGACGCGAACCGCGTCTCGCAAGAAAGAATAAGCCCCTTGTTGGGGCTGCGCGTCCTAAAAAATTGAAGGGCGGCCAGGTGGGTTTTGAAAAACACCACGAGCACACAAGCATATGTGATCGCGTCCACAAACGCGTCGCAACTCGTCCCCATGTCTGACAACAATTTGTTGCAGACATGGACGGAGCACGGGAGCCAAGTGATCGTCCTCAGTGCATAAGGCATGGACGACGAGGCCAATGCCCTTGCAACCCTCACGTAAGCAGAAGCGGAGTCAGTGCATATCGCATTGACCCGCTGCAGGCCGCTGAAGCTGAACTCGTGGAAGATGGTAACCCATCTCCAAAGGACGTGCACTGCATCGTCCAGCTCGCCCTCTCGATTGATCGTCGTGTACACGACGACCCCTCACGAGCTAGCGGCAAGGAAATTCACGATCGGTCTCCCGTCCCGTGATTTCCTCCCATCGGAGAGGAGGGTGGCACCAGTCACCCAGAATGGCTGCCTCACCTCCTCCAACTCCTCCGCCAGCTCTGCACGGTGGGTCTCCACCGCCCGCATACTCGCAATCTCGCAGTGGTTGGGGAGCACAGCGCGCGGGGAACTGCCAGGCTGCTCAAGAAGCACCTGTTGATATGCCTTCTAAGCCTGGTTGCGGAAGGCATTGAAGGAGACCCCGCTGGAATCATGCCCACCATCTCCCCCAACCCCTCCCTCCACCGGACGTCGCCCCGTCTCTCCTCCCCTTGCACCATCCGTGCCGGGCACATCGACTTCGCGCTTCGCTGCATACCTGGCAACTGTAGACATCAGTCACCTTCTGCTCGCGAAGCCGCTTTCCAGTTGGGGTGGCAGCCGGATCAGTTCCTCCTTCCTTCCTCTTGAAAGACCCCTCCGTTGCAGCTCCCTTGCCTGCTCGCCTCCGCCAGTCCTCCATCCTCTCCCCAGTGCCTGGATAAAACTCTGGCATGTCCTCGTGTTCCGAGACTTCCTCCTCGCCCGGGCCACGCGCCTCGCGATCGACGTGGATCACGCCCTCCTCTGTATCACTGCCTCCACCCCCCAACGGGTGCTCTGGCACATCATGCCCACCATCTCCCCCGACCCCTCCCTCCACCGGACGTCGCCCCGCCTCTCCTCCCCTTGCACCACCCGTGCCGGGCACATCGACTTCGCGCTCCGCTGCATACCTGGCAACCCTCTTCGTATGATCGGCCTCGAACTTCTGATGAGTCCGTCGCACGATCTCGTAAAACTCCTTGTCGCTGACATCCTTGCAGTAGTTTGTTTGTGTGAAGTGCCTCGTGGCCTGAAACTGGGTCCCTTGGGAAACTTGGTTGCAAAACGTGCAACGAAGCATCATGCCCCCTTGTTGTCGACCTTCTGGCCGACAACCAGGTACCGGTACACAGGGGAACGGGCCCTGAATGTGTCCTACACATAGTCCGGGGCAGGCTCGTGCTGGCGGCGCTGTGCCCTCCCCATGTCAACCACCCTGGCGAGACAACCCTCGCTGAGTCCCCCCGAGCGCACCGCTGCAACCCAACCCCTGTCGACCACTGCCTGCCGCAGGGTCCCCCTTCCCCCAACTCCCTCGCACCCCCCTCAGTACCCCCCCTGCAATCCAACCCTCCCTGACCACCGCCCGCCGTAGGGTCCCCCCTCTTTCCCCCTACCGTCTCCCCACAACCCAAGAACCCACACGCAAGCGGCCCAACCACCACAAACGCATTGCGGCCCCTCACGTTCAATCGCGTTAAACGTCGTTCAAACCCGTTGAATCACGTTAAATCAAGTTTAACGCCGTTGAATTAAAAATTCAACGGCGTCATTCGCGGCCACGCATGCCTATTCGCCGCAATCGTCGAACGCGCTCCCCTGCTGCTCCAGCTTCGTCGAAGCAACGCCACCGCTCCGCTCCGTTCCACGCTCCCTGCGACGCTCCTCGCTCCCTCTCTCTCTCGCGGCAGCTTTCTCCCTCCTCTCTCTCTCTCTCTCTCTCTCTCTCTCTCTCTCTCTCTCTCTCTCTCTCTCTCTCTCTCTCTCTCTCTCTCTCTCTCTCTCT